CATTAATGTCAAGGTCTCAGCAAAAAGGGACCAAACACAAACACATCCACCTCAGCCTGGACCTGGGCCTGGCCCCCCCCCCCCACTGAGCTATCATCACCACAACCAGTGACCCTCGACAAGCTCCTCGAAGTCTCTGGAGTTGTCCCTTTCTGCAGCAGCTCTGTCACTTCTCCCATAGCAGCAGCAGCAGCAGCAGCCAGCTCGAGTACGTAGCTCTTGGTTTTCTCTCTAATAGTCTCTCTCGGTCTCTTGCCCTCCTAATAAGAATCGATATCTGCTCTCTTAAAAGTCATCAAGCACAGAGGTAAAAAGGCTCAAGAGCATGAAATTGCAGATGGTAGAGGGTGTACTTATGCAACACCAGGCTGTAATATAGGCCTTTAAATGGGTAGAGTCGGTAGAAGACATACAGTAGTAGAGAGAGAGAGAGTGTACATACGAGATGAGGGTGGAAAAAGCGATAAGCAGAAGCAGAGAGGGGGGAAAAAAATGAAAAATGTAGAAAGAGCAGAGGTCAGAGATAGCATTTCATGCTGCAGAGACGTGATTCCTGAAGGTTTTGTTTTGTATTTCCTTCATATGGACCGGCGCATCAAACAGCACAGCTACGGAAAGCTTATGATGTCGACAGCTTATCTCCCATTTTCACCTCCTCAAAAGCAATAAACACACAGAGCGACTGGGAGATGGCGGGGGGGGGGGGGGGGTTGAAATGCACAACTACAAAGAGTCGACTCTTCAGGATCAACGGTGCCACGGCACTCTCTCTCCGTTTTCATTACCACACACTGTCCTGGAAAGCCGTGTGAGGCCGCTGATGGGAGCCGTGGATTATCCTGCATGGATGGGACGCTAGAGTCTGAAGCATGAAGGACACAGATCGTGTCAGCCAAGGCACGGGCACATTACAGCGGAGAGCAGACCTCAAGGACTCCAGTAGATTAAAACTGATTGAAATCCCATTTGTGGTGTTTGAGGTCTTTCATGTCAGCTTTCTCTCTCACCCTTTCTCACTCTCCCCCTATTTTCCTCTAGCCGCCTTTCAATCCCCTAAAGTGAGCAGAGCCTTAACTCTGAATAAACAAATACGATTGTGCACCACAGATTTGCATGGCAATAATATAAAGCTGTTGGATTTAAAGTAATAAAGGCATGTTTGGAAGGATGTGTGCATTGTTATGTTATAGATGGACAAAATGGTCAATTTCAATCTGACATATGCACAAACAACAGCGCCTTTGATGACATGAATGTGCAGTGTGTGCATCAATCAGAAACTATTATGCTTCCTTTATTGTCTCTTGCAAAGGAACAATGCTGAATGCTCATCTTAAACGTGGATAAAGTTTCAAACAAACAAATGTAAATTGAATCCCTGCAGGCTTCAAGAACTCTGACTACCAAGTTACCAACACTTTTTTTTTTTTTTTCTACTTCCTGATTATCCGAGGTCAGCTATAGTCACAGCTTTTCTCTCTACAGTCATCTGCTCCAGGCACAGTGGCCCACTCAGTGGTGTGCCGTCCACCCGCTCGGTCTGTCTAGGAAGTTTTGTGACGGCTCGGCTCAGGAATACTCTTCAGACTTTCAAGTGCTGCAGGATGCTGCTCCCTCTATTGACCCTCTGCAGCAATTTAGGACGAGTTAAACAATCAGAAGAAAGTGGGCTTTTTAGGGATGGTGGCCTTACAGAGACAGGGGCTAAAGTGGCTTGTTGGACTGAGTTGCTGCGGGGGAAAAAAGTCAGTATGAGATATATATGTGTTTTTTTCTTGCTGTGAAAGCTGCTCCTGTTGAATCTGTGAGATTAAAAACAAAGTGCCTGAACTGAGCATGATAGGCCCTTAGTCTGTTGCAACAAATTAACCCATGAATATTCTAATGGAGACAGTGTGGTAGAAATACCTAACCTTGAAGATTATCTTAAGTAAAGAACTTTTTCCCCCATTAGTTCAGAAATCAAAAAAGAGTTCCAAAACTTTCTGAGAGCAGCTCTGCTCATTGTCACAACCATGAGTCATCCACTTAACAGACTGCATTTGAACAGTGGGTGGTAAAAAAAAAAAACAGTAACACCCCGTTACCCTGCAGACTCAACAAAGTACCAAACTCACTTGTAATGCCTCCTCCTCTGTGCCACAGACTGCACCAGGCAGTGAGGATGGCTGCGGTGAGAATAGCAGCCCATGAGGATAGCATGCTGCACCAGCCGCTGAGGAAAAATAGCAGTTTAGCACATTGGCCGCTCGGCCTGTTTGGATTGCAAGCACAGAGCTGCCCCCATGCCAGGCACAACTACCGGTGCCGCTGTTGTAAATGTGCACCAATGGAAAACGAAATGGGAGCTTGCTCATGCTGCAGTGAATCCCAGTGAGCATTTGTCATATTACACCACAGCTTTTGGCCAAATCTAAACTGGAGAGTTCTGGAGTCGTACACCATCATCCAAAAACTGAGACTGGAAAATACAACAAAAGCCAGAGGGGTTAAAGGGGTCTCTAATTTAGTGCAAGAGAGGCCAATTTTTATTGCTTAAAAATGGCTCCTGAATGGGGTCATATTTGAAATTTGCAAAAGCAGCTGTTTTTATTTCAGCAGGTTTTCTGTATTTTGAACATGAGGGATACAATAGCTCCAAACCCAATTTAAAACTCTAGCTTTCTTCTACTGAATAGAAGGCACCGTCTTATTAAAATATCAGCTTTACATATCTAAAATCCCCCCCCGCCCCCCCGATCTGACTCTTTCCTTTGTTTTTATCTTTTTAATTTATTTGGCTTATTTAACAATACATGCAATTTACTGCCTACATGTGCTGCATCTCCTCTGAGATTTGAATGCTTTAAATACATTATGTTGAGCACTTAGAATTGTTTTCTGCTTTAAAAGTACACGAAGAAATCGCCCCTGCTTGCCCTAAGTTCATAACTTGGGCGCTTTGCATTATTATTCTTTCTCTATCTCTCTGTTGATACATTTTTTTCCGTCCGTTTACATGAGTACACTTACATTTTTATCTTGACCTCTTTATGGGAATTATTTAGAGGTTTTAGTTATACTCGGAACCTCGACAACTGCCACCCTCCTGCGCAGGTCTCTGAAAAGTCGACTGATAAGCTTAAGCTCTCTTCAGGAGAAGAGCATCTTGCCCACACAAAATGCCATAGTGCTCCACCGAGCCCACATTGTGACAACACCTCCTGATATTATCTGAATACTGTGGATTTATGCAACATCCATGCAGCTTATTCCCTGGCAAACTGACTCCACAGTCATTTTTTTTCTCCCCCTGAGGCCTGAGATGAAGCATACAAATCTCAGTGTGGAGCAGCCTGCCTGAAAAGAGGTTAAGAAATTGAATTTGGAGAAAGGTCAAATCTCCAATGTCATGTTCATCCATGCCTGCCAAACAAATAGAAGAGAGCCTCCGTACACACGGCGGAAAGCCTTCTCCTCGTGTGATCAGCAGGTATAAAAAACAGTTCACTGAGGAAGCGGCGGCTCCTCCAATCAGAGACACAACTGTGACGCCCCAGTGGAATCACAGGCAAAACAAGACAACCAAAGGTACAGCTCACCGCAGGTATTTCCTAACGAACAGAGCTGTTTTATCTGGCGTCACCTCTGCACATAACCCCCTCTCCCTACCCAGACTATAGAGGCCACATCATGTGAGAGAGAGAGAGACTCAGTGACAGGCACCCGAAGAGGCAAAGCATGGCAATGAAGATATCAGTGATGTTAGAAAAAAAACAGAGTCGCGCCATCATTCAACCCCATCTGAAGACTTCCTTGAAATTCATTGAGCTGTCACAGAGGCAGAATAGTGAGTAGAGAAATGGCACATGGTTCTTCCCCTATTAGAGGTATGAGAGGAAGCTAAGAGATTTTTTATCTCCAGTGTAAAACAAGTACAACACACCCGATCATCAGACTTGAAAAGTGCTTTACGAGCACATTTACTTTCTTTCTCTATTCTGAGGTAGTGCATATTTCTAAGTGATTTGACTGTAATGAAAACATATCTATGAACATTATATTCAGTTACACAGTCAAAATGACTTTCAGAACATGGTTTGTCATACTAAAAGTGCAAACCTCAAAACTAGGCAATCTACAGTTAGAGAAGGCCCAGAAACAAGCTTTTTGTCCTCATGTCGATACGATAGATGAAGAACAATTTTTTGTATCTTATTATTTTTTGGGCTTTTCTGCCTTAATTATATAGGAGAGACATATAGAAAAAGACTGAAACGTGGGGAACGACAGTGGGGCATGACAGACACCAAACAGAGTCCAGATCTGGAGTAGATTCTGTGACTAGAGCAACTAGGGATGTAACCTCTGCACATGGGGGGGTACCAACTCTATCCAGTGAACTAAAATGGCGCCCCAGAACATTTATCTTTTCTGCTTGTATTTTGCTTATATATAAATAATATATATATTTTGTCAAAATAGTTGCAATGAATGTTTTTGTCAATCAGCCAACTTAGATAAAAAACGGATTGTTTTGGTTTTAGCAGTTCTTATAGCGATCAATAACTCCAACAGTGCAGTGAAATCCATTATTTCACAAATTGTGGCACTTTTCCATAACATATATATATATATATAAAAGCCATTCTGTTGGTAGCTCGGGGATTTACAAACGACCCCGCAGCCACTTTTTAAGATGATTCAACTATAAATTGATTTGTTACAGGCTCTACTTACATCACATAGACAGCCTGTGATCCACTTTGCTCCACATTGTAGGGTTATCCAACTTAAGCCCCTACTTTTAAAACCTCCAAAACCCCTGCTGCTCTGTGACGGATGACATGATTCAACGCTTCGATATGATAGATTTTTTACACTTAATTTTCTTCATGTGCTTCAACACAAACATCATTCAATATGAAAGTCAGACACGCTTAATGGGGGGGGGGTTCACTGAAGTGGCTCCTTAGAGAAAGAAAGCAAAGCCGGGATCTCCCCTGCCCGTCCCCTCTTACCGTCCACACAGGCAGGTCTGGCTCTTGTAGTTCCAGCGATCTGCCCCTTCTTACAGGCGCAGCGGGCCGTCTGCCTGGCGATGGTCCGCCGTGGTTGGCTGCTGTCCTTGTCCAGCGTCACAATCTCACATGTCCCCGCTGCCAGTTGGCCTGGAAATGACATTGCACCACAGAAAGCGATGTCAGAGAGATGAAATCATAATCAGGGCAAAATAAACAAGTCTGCCACTTCTGTTTAATTTGATGTCACATGAACGGTGGCTGAAGCTGTGTTATTTCTCATAATCCTTTGTAGTTCATTTGGCAGGGCACAGCACTACCTAACAAATTGAAGTTAGTCGGCTTCAGTTGAACCACTGACGCAGGTGCATACTTTTGTTATGGATTCATCAAAAGAATGGCTCACATTAACCACTAGAACATTTGTTCTCATGTTCATTCATAGAATAGAAACCCAGACACAGCCTTTTTGTTTGGAACATGAACTTTTCTCTCAGCTGATATTGTGGTTAGTGGCATGCACAGGATATTGCACACTTAACTTGCATTAAATTTCCAGGTTCCTCCAAATGTCATCTTTCTAAATAACACTTTCTTAATCAGTTTCTTTGACAACCCTTTGACCCATTCCAAGAATAATCTGAAGCCTGCACAGTCTTACAGAAATAGCTTGAAAGCTAACAGGGGAACACTAAAGAAGGTCCTTAGAAGGTCCTTAGCAGCTCACAGATGTAGCGACATATGTGAAAAGACAAAGGTCAAGAAATAACTTTACCTACTCAGCTACCTAAATATTAACTGCAAGCTATTTCCTATTAAGGTCCAAATCCTTTCAGCACACCTCTCTGAAGGTAATGTAGCCATTAGCAAGGAATGAAATGCATGAATACTGATGAACTTTGTAATTGCTGCCAAGCCACCGCACCGCCAACCCCCATCTTACACACACACACACATACACACACACACACACACACACACACTTTCTCCATGTATTCAATAAGGTGACCTTTGACCTTGTAGCCGGGGCCCTTGCTGCTCGCAAATTAACCTTTGTCTGTGTGTGGAGGCCCTCGGGTGCCATCCTGGAGAGGCTTATCAGGATCTAATTGTGATTGGCAAGAGGATGGAAGTTGTGATTAAATCTGGACTTGAGTCCCGAGCACTTGGGTGGCCGGCTTAATGAACTGAGCAGCGAGGGGTCACACCCGGGGTAATGGGGATCTATCAAGATTCTTCCACAGACTGGTTACCTGTGGTGGTCCTGGCTACAGACGGGGGACATGTCTGCCAATGTAGCCATTTAAAAGGAATGCATATGTACAAATACACCTTTCTTTACAATGATGTGTTTAAAAGCTATTTAGTAAAATTAGCTATTCTCTGCCTGAAGTCCAACGTCAGCTTCTCTTTTCATACCACCACATGTTAGTCTTAGGCCTAGTCCAAGGCCAAAACGCACAGAAAAAGCTATGTTTTCAAAACAACCCGCCAACGTGTGGACTAGGCCTTAAGCAAGCTGTTAAAGAAAACCTGACTTGAATCTCCCAATCCAGAAAAGAAAGACTTTCTTATCTGCAAATTACTACTGATTGTTATCATTGGACCATAATTACGTAAGCCCTTGGCTGAAAAACTGAATATAAAGCCCACATTTTAAATTAATATACCACTTGTGATATTTTGCTCGTTGCGTGATCATTGTATATTCTGTCTGTGTTCACTACTAGAGCTGGGATATGTTGAACTCGCTGTATATGAAAGTTCTAGTTACAAGTTGTCACAAATGGAACTTCGGACAGTGGACCCAATTGCAGACCAACAAATTGGAATTTGTTGCAACAAAAAAAACACAAGGCAAAAACCCCAAAAATCTTACTGCACATGAAAATAACAAGGTCCAACTGAAAGTCTCGGAAAAAATCTGAAAACACACAGAAAGCCACGGGGGAAAACAGAAAAAACACAGAGAGAGGAAAGACAATGAACATGGCAACAAGAGGGAAGGTACAAAGAAAACAGAGGGGCTCATCAACCAGGGGTGTGGGACAAAAAGACACATGTGAAACTAATAGGCGATCAAAGGGAAAGGAAAGAACACACACACACACACACAATGGGAGGGAGTAAAAGTAGACATGACACACAGAGGACAAGAACAACAAAATAAAACAGGAAACACTAAAAACTAAACACAGGAATATGCTAACAAGGAATACAGTCTAGTATAAAAAAGTGTTTTACAAGCTCAAGTCCATTTACCATTCAGCTTTTATTTGAGTATTTTTATGCCAGTGGACCCATGTGTTAGCAGTAAATATATATGCATCTATAAATACAACTCTTCTGAAAAGACAGGTGAAGTGAGATGCCTTGGCTCAAAAATGCACGCCAAACAAAATCCATCCTGTTATGTCTCTGAGGAGATCAAGACAAAAATCCCCCCCCTACATCTCCACCGCCCCTTTTCCGCTGCGCTCCTCCTCTGTCCTCCTTTACATTCCTCACTCTTTTTTTTTTTACCTCCTTCATGCCTTTTCACTAACTCCCTTCTCTCTCTTGCAACTCTTCTGTCTTTTTCTGCATGATGCCAGATAATGACTTGTCATGTAAGCTCCTGTGTGTGTGTGTATGCGTGTTATGTTCATGTGTGTGTGTGTGTGTGTGTGTGTTTGTGCATAATATTCCCTGCATCCTATCCCACCCACCATCTCTGCAGAGCATCTCATTGCTGCTGCCTTCTTCCTGCTTTCCCTCTTATTGTCAGTTCTTTCTGTTTTGGAACTCTTCCACTGCAAGATGCTGAAAAGACTGTTTAGATGTCTTACGTAATCGCTGTGGCACCGAGGTACCATGTGTGAAGTCAACTAGCTCAAAGACTTCGGCTGATTTGACGTCGCGATTCTCTGTTGTTCCTCCTTGAGTCGATGGAGCTCATTAATTGCCTACATTTCATCAAACAGGGGCCTTGGTTTTGCTGTCACAGCTGTGACAGGAAACCGACTTCATTTCATTTCCATGTTGTTGCCTTGCATTGTCATGTATATTGCTTTCTATATGGCTGTATGGAAAGCAGCGTGAGAATAAAATAATTGTGCTCTGCCTCATTGAAATGTTTAGTTGCAAAGCTTGTAATATACTGTAAGTGTTGAGGACAGTGTATTGGTGAATTTCTGCTATGTTCTTTATGTTTAAGAAGGTAAGGTCAACCATACAAGGCCTCAAAGAATATTTGACTGGATGATTCAGCATTTTTGATTCTACAGAAAATAACAAAAGGTCATCCAGTCTATTTATTAATAATATTAACAACATTCATTCAATTGGTATTCTGAGAGCACCATAAATGTTTGTTAAAGTCATCACTTTAGTACCATGACCATTGGTAAGCCAAGCAATAGTCAATGAGATGGTTGTGTGAGGGCACTCACTCTTTCTGCTCAGAGAGAGAATCAACTCACTGCAGGCAGGTGTGTGTGTCACTGACTGGCTTTGATTAAGCTCAGGTGTGGGGAGCTTTTATAAACTCTGAGTCTCCAGTGCTCAGTGCTGACTCATTATCTCACCTTCAGACTGTGTTTTCTCTAGTTGCCTGTGTGTGTGTATATATAAACACCAAAGAAAATAACTTTTTGTGGATGAGTTTTCCATTGCTAGTCTCCCAGAGTATAACTTGGGGTGCTGGATAGTTTTGTTGCAACACAAAGCCTTTTGTGTAAACAAAGGTCTTACTTTTTGTTTTATGTTTTCTGGGTCTCCTGGACAATTTTGGTTTTGAGTCAGCGGCTTGGCAGCAGTGGTTTAGTGAATCATTTTCGGTGCATTATTTAGTTTAGGAAGCTTGTTGTGGCTCTATACAGTTTAGTTGTTTTTTCCCCCCTCTCCAATCTATGGCTTGCGATTTTTGTGGCTAGCCTTCTTGGATAACTTTCAGACACACCTGGGTCCGCACCTGCGTCCCACTCCCCCTTCCTGACAAGTTTAGCCTGGTGGACAGACAACACCCTCCTCCCTGCAGCTTTACTTTTATCAGGCTAAAAAAAGGTTTTCTCCTCAGTTGTCTCTTCAATAAATTAAGTTGATTCAGATTTCAGTTTTTTCAAAAATGGTGATCAATGTACCAAAAAAATTCTACTTAGACAATTCCTTAAGAGTAGGAGTTTTAAACAAGTTGTTTCCAGCTCCGAGCATTCTTGCAGTTGTGCAGCCTTCTCAAATATTCTGTGAGAGAATTTGAGGACACGCTGCGGTCTCAATCCCCTTGTAAAGCAAAAAGTCGACTCCATTACTTCTTTTCTAAAACAAATTGCTTCAAGCATCCTCGTGGCTGAGCCTCCAGAGCCAGGAACCACTGGTAGCAAGTACAGTATATTGCCACTCTTAAATATATGAAAGCTAAACAAACAAAAGCAAATACAAAATACTGAACCAATTCCCCAACCCCAAGTACTCCTTAATGTTAACCTGGAGGGATCAACGGAAGAGGTTAAAAAAAATATGAAACCATAAGATTCACAGCTCAGAAAAGGCTCTTTCCACAAACAAGAGTAAATTACTTCTGTATTTTGGCTTACAATTACAAACTGATAACATTTTCAAGAACGGTTTTATACAAGCAAATATGCAAGATGTAGCCCAATCGCCTCCTTTGCATCCTGTGAAGAAATTGGACAGTGAAGAGAGTCCACAGTAATCCTGTTTCCTGGAATAGCCTCGTGAATTGTGGTGAAAAATAAAAAACTGGCAGGTGTCCGCGGAAACAAACCCAGCGCGTGTACCAGTGGTGTTATGATTTATCATCACCCCTATCAGCTCCTGTTGTCGAGCAGTTGTCAGCTTGGCCGGCCAAATGGCTGATTAAAATGTATGTGTGGCCACCCTAGAGTGAAATTAAAGCTTTGACTGTGGCAGAAGATGGATTCATGTGGCAAAGCAAAAGGCTTAATACAATGTAATGTTATTGACATGCTCCCATACTTTATTATTTCTCCGCTTGCTCCTCAGCATTACAATCGCTCTGCCATACATTTTGACCAGCAGCCAGCACAGATACAACAGAGACATGGCGTTCATGCCTACAGAGCATGGTTATCCAAGAGGTTGTCATTACTTTTTTAGATTGGCACATGTTTTGCTTCTCAAGATATCTT